TGTACCACTATGATTCACCTCATGTACCACCATGATTCACCTCAAGTACCACCATGAGTCACCTAATGTACCAATATGATTCACCTCATGTACCACCATGATTCACCTCAAATACCACCATGATTCACCTCAAATACCACCATGATTCACCTCATGTACCACCATGATTCACCTCAAGTACTACCATGATTCACCTCATGTACCACCATGATTCACCTCATGTACCACCATGATTCACCTCATGTACCACCATGATTCACCTCATGTACCACCATGATTCACCTCATGTACCACCATGATTCACCTCAAGTACCACCATGATTCACCTCATGTACCACCATGATTCACCTCAAGTACCACCATGAGTCACCTAATGTACCACTATGATTCACCTCATGTACCACCATGATTCACCTAATGTACCACTATGATTCACCTCATGTACCACCATGATTCACCTCAAGTACCACCATGAGTCACCTAATGTACCAATATGATTCACCTCATGTACCACCATGATTCACCTCAAATACCACCATGATTCACCTCAAATACCACCATGATTCACCTCATGTACCACCATGATTCACCTCAAGTACTACCATGATTCACCTCATGTACCACCATGATTCACCTCATGTACCACCATGATTCACCTCATGTACCACCATGATTCACCTCATGTACCACCATGATTCACCTCAAGTACCACCATGATTCACCTCATGTACCACCATGATTCACCTCAAGTACCACCATGAGTCACCTAATGTACCACTATGATTCACCTCATGTACCACCATGATTCACCTCATGTACCACCATGATTCACGTCATGTACCACCATAATTCACCATCACTGTACCACCATGATTCACTCAAGTACTACCATGATTCACCTCATGTACCACCATGATTCACCTCATGTACCACCATGATTCACCTCATGTACCACCATGATTCACCTCATGTACCACCATGATTCACCTCAAGTACCACCATGATTCACCTCATGTACCACCATGATTCACCTCAAGTACCACCATGAGTCACCTAATGTACCACTATGATTCACCTCATGTACCACCATGATTCACCTCATGTACCACCATGATTCACCTCATGTACCACCATGATTCACCTCATGTACCACCATGATTCACCTCAAGTACCACCATGAGTCACCTAATGTACCACTATGATTCACCTCATGTACCACCATGATTCACCTCATGTACCACCATGATTCACCTCAATACCACCATGATTCACCTCAAGTACCACCATGATTCTCCTTATGGTGCCACATTCACATATGCAACAACCATAGACTGCAATATTATCCCTGTATTGCATACAAAAACATTTCGTGCAACATTTGGGAATCTTTATTCTGAAAACGTTTCGCCAGCCAGTGGCTTCTTCAGTCCAATACGGAGAAGAACGGCTCAAGAGGAGGAGTAGTTTGAGATGATCAGTTCCTCAGCTTGAGTATAACTTATGCCCTTGAGGGACTGACCGCCTCAAATTCTACTTCTCCATGACTGATTTACTGATTACATCATATTCACCTCCCCACTACACCTGCTGTCTCTATATTTGACTGAAGAAGCCTATGGTGTAGGCGAAACGTTTCAACAATAAAGATACCCAACTGAGATTTTCCTCTCATGTTTCGTCACACAGGACGACCTTGTGCTCAGTCTGAGCTGCAGACTGTAGACAATATTATATATACATATATTTACATATATATATATATATATATATATATATATATATATATATATATATATTATATATATATAGTATATATATATTATATATAATATAATATATGCAATAAGATCACAGTAAACAGGTGATTTCAGAATATGCAAAACAACCACTGTAAAAGAATATAGAAATTCCAAGCGCTTTCGTGACTACTCACATTGATCAAGGAACAATGATTGTTCCTTGATAATGTGAGTAGTCACGAAAGCTCTTGTAATTTCTCTATTCTTTCACAGTGGCTGTTTTGCATATACATACATGCATACATACATATATATATATATATATTACCTGGAGAGAGTTCCGGGGGTCAACGCCCCCGCGGCCCGGTCTGTGCCGAATAGGCAGAACTTGCGATCTTGGCTTAAATAGCAACGCTCATCTTGCCATATAGGACAAGTGAAAATTTGTGTATGCAATAATTTCGCCAAAATCATTCTGAACCTAACGAAAAAAATATATTTCACTGTGTTTGTTTAGTATTAAATTATTGTAAACAAATCTAAAATATATTTAGTTGGGTTAGGCTAAAATAAATTGTTCTTGTTATAATAAGGTTAGGTAAGTTTTCTAAGTTCCTTTTGGTGCAAAATTATAAATTTTTACATTAACATTAATGAAAAAAATATATCTTTAAACGTATAAGAGAAAATTTTAGAAAGGACTTAATTTTAAATGAGTTCTTGCTAATTGACCAGTTTTACATATTCGGCACGACACACACATATATATATATATATATATTATATATATATATATATAAATATATATATATATATATATATATAATATATATATATATATATATATATATATATATATTATTGTTAATGAACTGAACACATCGACTTCAGATTGAGGGACTGATTACCTGAAACTCCTGACCTTCAACAATTCTTCTCTGTATTGGACTGATGAAGGCACTGTGCAGCGAAACGTTTCCACAGTAAAGATACCCAAGTGTTGCACAAGTGTCTGAGTCATCACCCCGTCGGTTCTCTGAGCCACTTATGTACATTCCACTATAGGTTCTGTAGCTACGGCAGATGCAACGGTTTCTTTACAGAAGAATTGAGTTATTATTACACAGGCTGTGAGAATATCGTCAAATATTCCACTATAGGCCTATTAGTTACTATAGCTTTAATTAAAGGGGAGGCAGAATGGAAGGGAAGAGAAGAGGGAAGGGAAATAAAGAGACTGGGAAATAGTGATGGTCTTCTGACCTGTCTTCTCCTGTCTCCTGACCTGTCTTCCGCCTGGTTTTTCCTGTCTTTGACCTGCTTCTCCTGTCTTCATGACCTGTCTTCCGTCTGGTTTTTCCTGTCTTTGACGTCATCTGCTGTCTCGTACCTGTTTCCGTTGGTTTCTCCTGTCTTCTGCTCATCCTGACTGACTCTTTCTGTCTCCTAACCTATCTTTCCTGTCTCGACCTGTGTTCCGTCTGGTTTCTCTGTCTCGGGCCCTGTCTTCTGCTTTTCTCTGACTGACTTCTTTGTCTCCTAACCTTCTTCACAGTCTCCTGACCTGTTCATGATCTGTCTTTCCTTCTCTGACTGTGTCCGATCTGGTTTCTCTGTCTTCTGACTGTCTTCTGCGCCTCGGGACCTGAATCTTCGTTCTAACCTGTTTCCCTGTCCTGACCTGTGTTCCGTCTGGTTTCTCCTGTCTTCTGACCTGTCTTCTGCTGTCTCCTGACCTGTCTTCCGCCTGTCCCCATCACTTCTCCACCTCATCTATTTTCCGAATTCCTGGTCATTTTCTGGCAACTGTCGTGACCTGACAATGGCTCAGGAGGGATCGAAACGTTCCCTCAAGTTCTCTCTCCAAACACTGAAAGAGTTTCGAACACTACTATCATTACAATCACGAGGGCTCCGCTAAACCCATAGGGGCCCTGAAGCCCTTGGTGGGGTGGATATGATTCGATTCACGGGAATGTCAGGTTCAATTCCTTGGATCAAAAGCTTCTTAAGGAGTCTCCCTAGAAAAAAAGTATATAAAAAATTATGAATATTTTTGTTTTGTTTTATATAAGTGATTTATATACATGTACTAAGGCACAGTTGGTTTATGTAAGTGGTTTATATACATGTACTAAGGCACAGTTGGTTTATGTAAGTGGTTTATATACATGTACTAAGGCACAGTTGGTTTATGTAAGTGGTTTATATACATGTACTAAGGCACAGTTGGTTTATGTAAGTGGTTTATATACATGTACTAAGGCACAGTTGGTTTATGTAAGTGGTTTATATACATGTACTAAGGCACAGTTGGTTTATGTAAGTGGTTTATATACATATACTAAGGCACAGTTGGTTTATGTAAGTGGTTTATATACATGTACTAAGGCACAGTTGGTTTATGTAAGTGGTTTATATACATGTACTAAGGCACAGTTGTTTATGTAAGTGGTTTATATACATGTACTAAGGACAGTTGGTTTATGTAAGTGGTTTATATACATGTACTAAGGCACAGTTGGTTTATGTAAGTGGTTTATATACATGTACTAAGGCACAGTTGGTTTATGTAAGTAGTTTATATACATGTAACTAAGGCACAGTTGGTTTTATGTAGTGGTTTAATATACATGTATAAGGCACAGTTGGTTTACGTAAGTGGTTTTATACATGTTACTAAGCCACATTGGTATACGTAAGTGGTTTATTACTGTACTAAGCACAGTTGGTTTACGTAAGTGGTTTTATACATGTACTAAGGTACAGTTGGTTTTATGTAAGTGGTTTATATACATGTACTAAGGTAAGTGGTTTATGTAAGTGGTTTATATACATTACTAAGGTACAGTTGGTTTATGTAAAGTGGTCTATATACATGTACTAAGGCCAGTTGGTTTATGTAAGTAGTTTATTCATGTACTAAGGCACAGTTGGTTTATGTAAGTGGTTTATATACATGTACTAAGGCACAGTTGGTTTACGTAAGTGGTTTATATACATGTACTAAGGCACAGTTGGTTTACGTAAGTGGTTTATATACATGTACTAAGGCACAGTTGGTTAACGTAAGTGGTTTATATACATGTACTAAGGTACAGTTGGTTTATGTAAGTGGTTTATATACATGTACTAAGGTACAGTTGGTTTATGTAAGTGGTTTATATACATGTACTAAGGTACAGTTGGTTTATGTATGTGGTTTATGTACATGTACTAAGGTACAGTTGTTTTATGTACAAATCCTAATGTACAACACAGGGGTAACTAATGGAATTGTCTCTGGTTTTATTTTTTGCAGGATCGGCTACAGTATCCCGATGTTTGCAGGGTTTGTCATCATGTTCATCTCCACTCTGAGTAAGTACTCTCTCTCTCTCTCTCTCTCTCTCTCTCTCTATACTTTTATTCCTATTTTGTATCTGTATCCCACTATGTATGTATTTTTAGCATCAGCTACACACATTCCTCATACATAAATCTCACTCTTACCTCTCTCACACTCTCACTCTAGCATCCCTCACACAATCTCACTCTCATTCTCCCTCTCTCTCTCTCTCATTACCCACACACATATCCACTATTATTCACTATAACCACACATCTTTAATTTCAAGTGAACACACACGCAAGGGAGATATGATCACGACGTACAAGATAGTGAACTTGGTAGGGTGGACAGACTGTTTAAAAGGAATAGATAGAAGTTGATGGGGGAAAACAGGTCAAGGGGAATGACCTGGGCGAGGAAGCAGTGGAGGCAGATTCCATACACAGCTTTAAGAAGAGGTGATCCGAGGGACAAAAAGGGCATTGTATTGTGTGCCAGAGAAGCAATATTTTTTTTACCCTCCCTAGTTTCCCCCCATCTATCCTCCCCTCTGAAGCCAATCAAATATCCCTCCATCTAACCAGTTTCCCCTTGACGTCTCTTCCCCTCTAAAACCACTCAAAATATACCTAACTCACCCACACTCCCACCTACTCCCTCCCCCACACACTCCCACCTACTCCCTCCCCCACACACACTCCCACCTACTCCCTCCCCCACACACTCCCACCTACTCCCTCCCCCACACACTCCCACCTACTCCCTCCCCCACAACTCCACCTACTCCCTCCCCACACACTCCCACCTACTCCCTCCCCCACACACTCCCACCTACTCCCTCCCCCACACACTCCCACCTACTCCCTCCCCCACACACCTCCCACCTACTCCCTCCCCACACACTCCTACCTACTCCCTCCCACACACACTCCCACCTACTCCCTCCCCCACACACTCCCACCTACTCCCTCCCCCACACACTCCCACCTACTCCCTCCCCCACACACTCCCACCTACTCCTCCCCCACACACTCCCACCTACTCCACTCCCACACACACTCCCACCTACTCCCTCCCCCACACACTCCCACCTACTCCCTCCCCCACACACTCCCACCTATCCCTCCCCCACACACTCACCACCTACTCCCTCCCCACACACTCCCACCTACTCCCTCCCCCACACACTCCCACACTACTCCCTCCCACACACACTCCCACCTACTCCCTCCCCACACACTCCCACCTACTCCCTCCCCCACACACTCCCACCTACTCCCTCCCCACACACTCCCACCTACTCCCTCCCCCACACACTCACCTACTCCCTCCCCCACACTCCCACCTACTCCCTCCCCCACACACTCCCACCTACTCCCTCCCCACACACCCCCAAACCTACTCCCTCCACACACACTCCCACCTACTCCCACACACACTCCCACCTACTCCCTCCCCCACACACTCCCACCTACTCCCTCCCACACACACTCCCACCTACTCCCTCCCCCACACACTCCCACCTACTCCCTCCCCACACACTCCCACCTACTCCCACACACACACACTCCCACCTACTCTCTCCCACACACACTCCCACCTACTCCCTCCCACACACACTCCCACCTACTCCCTCCCCCACACACTCCCACCTACTCCTTCCCACACACTCCCACCTACTCCCTCCCCCACACACTCCCACCTACTCCCTCCCACACACACACACACCCAGACACTCCCTCACACCCTCTCAATCATGTTATCAATGTTGTTTTTCCCAAGAGAAGGAAGAAATACTCTGGCATTTACTCCCTCTTCTCTTTTTCCCCAACTGTATAACCCACACGGGTTTAGCTCTTATTTTATAATGTTAAATAATAATAATAATAATATTAATACTAGCATTAATGATAGTGGGATGGATTGTGAAGGAAGTGGGATGGATTGTGAAGGAAGTGGGATGGATTGTGAAGGAAGTGGGATGGATTGTGAAGTGGGATGGATTGTGAAGGAAGTGGGATGGATTGTGAAGGAAGTGGGATGGATTGTGAAGGAAGTGGGATGGATTGTGAAGGAAGTGGGATGGATTCTGAAGGAAGTGGGATGGACTGTGAAGGAAGTGAGACAGATAGTGAAGGACCTGCCTAGTATGGGCCAACAAGCCTCCTGCAGTGTTCCGCCTCTCCAAAGTTCTTATAATAATATTAACAATAACTGGCGAGCAGGTCATTAGAAATTCTTTTCCTTATTAATTGAAGTTAATTAATTTATCAATGAATAAAAAACATATTTTGTGTGTGTGTGTGTGTGTGTGTGTGTGTGTGTGTGTGTGTGTGTGTGTGTGTGTGTGTGTGTGTGTGTGTGTGTGTGTGTGTGTGCGTGCGTGAGTGCGAGCGTGTGCAGTGTACATATACTGCACCACACAATTCACAACCCTCACTTTTAGTTTTATTTTGACCCCAAAACAGAAATAAAACTACGAATTTTCCCACTGTACAATAAACAAAAAAAATCAGCCAAAAATTTCGTAAAAAAAAAAGTCACCCATCTCGCGAACACCATCTGTAAACAAGGAAAAAAATCCGTATCCCCTTACTAAACATGATCCTTTAATGGACAGGATCCACGCCCTTCCCTTCATCCTTTGTCCCTTCCAAACCTTATAAACTTTCATTTGTTCTCTTGTAGAAGGATTCCTAGTTTTTTTATGGTAGAAGGCAGGGGATGATTTGAACCTGTTGTCGAAGCGGCTTTCTAGAGAATGGTTGGGGGCTAAGTCATGGTAAAATCATGGCAGCCGATGGTTTTTCAGTAGTGTGTGAGTGCCTATTCAGATACGGGAAATCATGACCCGAAATATTTTTCCATACCAGGGAAATCTTAGAAGGATTTTCTACTATGCCTATAGAGTATTTTGGGACGCATATTCTTTCAAGCCCGAAACCTTGAATCCAGATCCCAAGACAGCGGCAGCTCAAGCTTATATTGTGACAACGTTTCGCTTCGTGTAGAGCTTTATCAAGCTCTTCCCACAGGGCGAAATGTGGTTTATAAAAGCCTGAGCTGTAGCTGTACATTTCGTTTACAGCCAGGAGCTGTTGTATTGAGCAGGGTAAATGGTTGACAGTGTCTGGAAAGGGGTCCCGAGGGGTCAACGCCCCCTCTACCCGGTCCCAGAACTGGTCTCTGGGGGAATCAAGATGGATAGTTACCCCTTAGAACCATGCTCACTAACTCTCAGGATAGGTAATACGTACCTAATCTTAGAATCATGGTAGGTAACTCTTAGAATGATAAGTAGCTGCTCTAAAATCATGGTAGGAAGCTCTTAGAATGATAGGTAGTTGCTCTTATAATCATGGTAAATAGGGCTCTTATAATCATGGTAAATACGGCTCTTAGAATCATGGTAAATAGGGCTCTTATAATCATGGTAAATACGGCTCTTAGAATCATGGTAAATAGGGCTCTTATAATCATGGTAAATAGGGCTCTTAGAATCATGGTAAACAGCTCTTAGAATCATGGTAAGTAGTATTCCTTAGAATGATAAGTAGCTGTTCTTAGAATCATGGTAGGTAGGGGCTCTTAGTGTCATGGTAGGCAGGGGGTTTTAGAATCATGGTAGGTAGCTCTTAGAATGATTGATAAATAGCTTCTCTTAGAATCATGGTAGAAAGGGTCCTTAGGATTATGATAAACAGCTCTTAGAATCTGAGAGAGAGAGGAAAGAGAAGAGAGAGAGAGAGAGAGAGAGAGAGAGAAGAGAAGAGAGAGAGAGGAGAGAGAGAGAGAGAGAGAGAGAGAGAGAGAGGAGGAGAGAAGAGAGAGAGAGAGAGAGAGAGAGAGAGAGAGAGAGAGAGAGAGAGAGAGAGAGAGAGAGCAGCATGGTGACAAAGGCTCCCCGACTCTTGGTATGCTATGGTAAGGTCAGGCATGTTAGGCAACGTTCGAAGTGTCATGGAAGAAATCACAATAAAACGCGTAATTGCAAATATGAAAAAAAACAACTGAGCGGTTTCATGTGTTTACATGCATATCTTTAAATATCTGAAGGTGTGTGTGCAAGCACATGAAAGCGCTCAGGTTTTATTTCCTATTTCCATTGTGGTATTTTTTCTTAGTGTCATATTCGAGGAGAGTCACACACTGGCCACGACAAATTTTTTTTGATGGAAATCTTAGAATCTCGTGCAATGCAAATGGGTTTGATAGAAAACTATCAGGGAGAGAGGAAGAGAAAGAGAAAGAGAAAGAGAAAGAGAGAGAGAGAGAGAGAGAGAGAGAGAGAGAGAGAGAGAGAGAGAGAGAGAGAGAGAGAGAGAGAGAGAGAGAGAGAGAGAGAGAGAGAGAGAGAGAGTTCATTTCATAACATAAGAGGTGTTTAGCTTTTGTTTTTTTCCTCAGTGACTGATCATTTTCGTCGTCTATCCTCTATAATCTCTTCTCTACTCTCTCTCCTCTTTCTCTCTCTCTCTCTCTTCCTGACTCTCCCCGGCTCCTTGATTTAATGGGTGGATGGTGGATGTGAGAAAATACAAGTAATTAAGTTAAGAGCAGAGGTGCGTTTTCCAGTTGAAGAGAACTGCAGTAACTCTGGGCCAGCAAGTGCTTCCCTTGTCTTGGTGTTTGGTGCAAGTGACTTACACTCTCTATCTCTCTCCTCGTGGGTGAGTGTCCCTCTAAATGAGGAGGTTCTTGGCTTTAAGAAGTGTACTGTCACCCTTCACAGGAGGATACCTTGGTCCTCCTCAGAGAGAATACCTTGGCCCTCCACACAGTGGCGGGGGGGGGGGGGTATACCATTATTGATGGGGCGACCAGCTCCTCCATCTGCTACACTCAGAAAGCCAATTTCCTTCTGAGTGGCAGCTTCTCTCTCTCTCCTTTATATAATGGCGATACCAGTCTACCCCCTCCCTCCCCCATTTCCCTCTTTCATCCTTCAGCCCCCTTCTCCATCTCCCCTCTCTTTCTCCTTCTCCTTCTCACCTCCATCTCCACCCTCACCCAGTCTTTCTCTCTACGT